AAAAGTGCGTGGGCCATTAGAATCGTCCATCTGAACCAGTTGAGATACCTCACAACACCTCTGTGACCCAGACATTGCCTCCACAACCTCCCCTTTTGTACGTTCACAGGACAAATGAAACATACCCTTCACCTGTTCAGCCCCAAGTGTCTCCACTTCATGCCTCAAGATGTCATTTGGGGTTCTGGTAAGTCTGTGCAAGATCCTGGAAGTATCAATAGTCTCCCAGCTCAAGGCATCAGCTACCATGTTTTTTTTTTGGTCCAGCATTGTACTGAATGTCAAACTCAAAAGGAGCCAACTTCGTAACCCATCTCTGCTCGAAGGCATCAAGCTTAGGTTTAATTCAAATATACTTGAACGGGTTGTTATCTGTCCAGACCGCGAATCTGTGCCCACAAAGCCAATGGCTGAATTTATCGCATATGGTCCATTTCATAGCCAGAAATTCAAGCCTATGAGAAGCATACCTGGATTGAGCATGGTTGAGTGACTTTGAAGCAAAAATGATTGCTTTTGCGACAGCATGCCCCTCCTGAACTTGGGAGAGCACTGCCCCAAGACCACTCGTTGAAGCATCAACAGACAGTATAAACGGTCTCAAGAAGTCAGGGTGAGCAAGTAAAACTTGTTTCACCAGCGCCGCCTTCACTAGCCACTTCCTCCTGTGAAACAATGAGGCCTAAAAATTTCACTGACCTTTGTAAAAACCTACACTTGGAAGGCGACAGCTTTAAATTATGATCCTTGAAAAGCTGAAACACAATTTCTAGTCTCTGCAAGCTTTCTTCCTCATTCTTACCAAAAACCAACAGGTCATCCAGGTAGCAAAGCAAGCTCATGAAATTTTAATCACCAAAAATAGTTAGCATCATTCTCATGAATGTTGCAGGACTGTTACAAAGATCTTGCGGCTAAGCGGTTTTACTCATGCAGCCCAAGGGGAGAGCTGAAGGCTGTACATTTTTTATCCTCCTCATGTAAAGGGATGTTGTAGTACCCA